GACTGGAAGCGCGTAAGAAGAACAACAGCGAAGATCTTTGCAGCAACATCGAGCATACGGCTTCGAGCACGTTAACTTTTAGATTTTTACGGTTCTTCAGTGCACCGTGCGACCCAAGGGAATATGATTAGTGCGAATACTGTGAGCTGGTTAAGTTTTTTGACCACAAAAGCGTCGTGTCGCTGTCATTGGATTAGACGAGACCATGCTATTGGAATTTGCCGAATACTTTTGAGATTGAGCCAACTGTTTGACTGAAGGCGGTTAAGTCTAATGAGGTTTACAGGTGTGATTTTGTGACGGTGACAGGATCACTCGTATGATTCAAAACAAATGTAAATACTCCCTCGCTTGAGGCAATGCTTGTATATTGCGTCTAAATTCCTTCGGAAATGGTGAGGATTGAAGACTCGTGACTTCGTTTTCTTGATAGTCTTATTGAGTTTGTGAAAATGTGGAACATGACTTACAGTGTAATCATGTCTTCGCGGCACTCAGGCTTTCGTACTTGGTCCACGAGTACCTTTAAGGTTTGGATGAAAACCCCGCATTTGACCTCAGCCAGGGAGTAATGCAACAGCTTGTCCATCCCATTAAAGACACGTCAAAAACCCGCTTCTGCTACTGTTTTCTGATCATGTCTCTGATGAAGAATCCGCGACGGATGTCGAAACGTCAGGCGGGTAAAAATGTTGTCCCAGCGATCGAATATTCTCAACACTACTGAAATCTACATCCTGACTAGGAGTTCAGAACAAGGATACTTCGGTTTTTGTTGTATTAAGAAAGAAAACGGACGGCGTCTCTGATACTGCTGTTTCTCATGACATTCATTCTGTTGTTTTTCGTGATTTCCCTCCAGTATATCAGCACCATTAGATTGTGTGAAATTTATTTTGGTTGGTGTGAAATTGCAAGTTTGGCTATGCCAAAACAGCGTAGGAATTTTGGATGAGCTATTTAACTACAGCCAAGAAGGCTGCATGACAGATTGCATTCTTATCGAACGCCTTACTCAGTTTAAAGTGATCTTAAGCGCATAACTGACATATTAGATTCCGCCTGGGTGTCATGAATGACTGGAATCTGGAATACCGGCTCTCTATTCATGTGCCAGACCATCGAACGTCGAATGACGGTGATATGCTATAACTATCACAGTTTTTCTCTTAAAAAAATCCTTAGGATTTTTTTTCACTGTCTGCTAACTTTAAAAAAAAACATTTATGTACCGCCTCAGGACAATTAACCTCGCCAACAAACTGAAATATAATTTTTCTGCTACGACGAAGCACATGCACAAATAGGGAACTCAGAGGCAATCTACCTACATTTATTTCTATGCCGTTTCGGATTCCGTCGTTAATCCATCCTCAGAAAAGATAGCAAAAACTGCTACTGCTTCTCACGATTGTGATCAGGTTCCAAAAAGTGAAAATCCCAGGGACACTTATAAACACAAGAATAGGGTGTCCACAGCGAACTTGTCTACACTGAAAGCTCCACGTAACCTCAATCATTATATTTGATGATGATAACGCCAGTTGCCAATAGTGTCGTTCACTCTTACTTTACTCTACCGCTCATCACTATGCCGATGTTGGTTGTGACTTTCAGTTATAGATCTCCAAGCAGTTCCCTGTGGCAACCCTAGCGCTCATTGCTTCTATGGGTGCGTACGGGTTTGCTACACTTCGGCCTAGATGATATATATTTATATATTGACTACTTCTGACCTTACATTCCTCTGCAACGGGTGTTTTTATGCCCCCTTATGTGGCAATTGCCGATAAAATGTACAGCACATGCCCCAACCCCCCTCCCCCCCTGCTTGCCTATCTTTGCCTAAGCTAGATATGTCTCGCTGTAGGTGGCTTCCAATCACAAGCTGCATTGGCCGCATCGGGAGAGAAACGTGCAATTACCGATTCGGCTTCTCGTTCTTCTGCCACTGACGGTGCCTCCACCTCAAAACGCTCTCGTCCGGAGCTGTCGTCTGCAGCCATTGCATCCGTCTCAACGGCCAATTTGGATGCTGATGACCCTTGGGAGGAAGACTACACGGAGGACGCCGCCACCGACAGCAAGCCCGTGGATCCTGATCTTGATAAGGATGAAGATGGCAAGGAAGATGAGGATGATGATGATGACGAAGACGAGGATGAGGAGGCCTTGTTGGCGGAGCTGGCAAAAATTAAACGTGAAAGAGCGGAGGAGGCAGCACGCGTAGCAGCTGAGAGGAAAGCTATGGAGGAGACAATTCGAATGGAAAATATCCTCAAGGGCAATCCGCTGCTCAACGTGACAAAAACGACTGCAGGTTGGCTCCCAACTTACGCTCTTTTTTCTTTCGGTCAATTAATAGTTGTGGATAAATTGGGCAATGTTTCCGCAGTTAAATTCCCCTAGACTAGCTTCCATGAGTATGTTATTCTATTTCGCGCCCAGTTACCGATTGGCAAGTTCAGTCACTTCCAACTATTG